AAAGTAGGTGATCTATAAATATTTACTCTTTTTTTTTTTTTTTTTTTTGAGTTGGAGTCTTACTCTGTCACCCAGACTGGAGTGCAGTGGCCGCTCCCGGCCACCGCAGCCTCGACCTGCTGGGCTCCGGCGATCCTTCCGCCTCAGCCTTCCAAGTAGCTGGAATTACAGGTGCGCGATACCATGCCCGGCTAATTTTTTTTTGATTTATTGTAGAGATGAGGTCTCGCCAAGTTGCCCAGGCGGGTCTCGAACCTGTGAGCTTAGGCAATCCGCTCACCTCAGCCTCCCAAAGTGCGGGATTATAGGGTGAGCCACCGAGCCCGGCTAATATTTACTCTTTAAATGGATAACCTAAGATTTAAAATTTGTTTTCTCAGTTGCACCTTCAACATTTCAAATACACAAAATGTTGGGAAAATCTTTTTACTGGTACAAAATATAGTGAGTTTGAAGAACAGTGTTCTATAAACCTTGGTTATACCCAGTGCCTAGCCCAGATCCTGATAGGAGAAACTCAGATATTTGTGAATAAGTGACTTATAGGTGACAATGAGCTATCGAGTGATTACAGCATTTTTAGTGTTGGTCGTTCAGCCTGAGGAAGAAAGTAGATAAAACATAATAAGCAGAACAAGTGATGTGCCTTGCTTCATTCTTTTGACAAGTATAATTCATACTGATTATTTTGATGAGCTCTCAAGTAACTTTAAAGTTTACAGATACTGTAGTTTGTAACAGTGGGACCTCATTACTAGGCCCTACTAATTTGATTTCTTTCTGGAGGCTGAGTATATTATCTTGTTTTGTTAGGATTTGATAGGCTTATGAATTAGAATAAAAATCAATGAAGTCTTCCAACTTTTTTTTTTTTTTTTTTGTGTTGGAGTCTCACTCTGTTGCCCAGACTGGAGTGCAGTGGCCGCTCCTGGCCACCGCAACCTCGACCTGCTGGGCTCCGGCGATCCTTCCGCCTCAGCCTTCTGAGTAGCCGGAATTACTTTACAGGTGCACGCTACCACACCCGGCTGATTTTTGATTTATTGTAGAGATGAGGTCTCGCTGCCCAGGCGGGTCTTGAACCCGCGGGCTCAGGCAATCTACTCACCTCAGCCTCCCAAAGGCGCGGGATTACAGGCTGAGCCACCGAGCCCGGCTCCAACTTTTTTTTTTTTAATTCAAGATATCGCTAAGATGTGTCCAAAGAATGGAAGCAGTGGTCCCAAGTACCCCATTTATTAATGAGACCATGTATGAGGCACAATATTAATATATCATATGTCTCTTGTTTTGATGCTACGTTTTGAAAGCACTAACTTGTGCAGTAAAAAAGTAGGTTCTGAGGCAGAATAAGTTTAGTGTCAGGACCTTTCTTTAACGACTTATGATTTCAGTCACGAAGAGGTTTTTGCCACTTTTCAGTGTGGGTAGAGAATTTAAATGCCAATACCTTAAGGCATCTATCTATTGTATGCCTTACTTCATCTCTATGAGTGATATGTACAAAGCACTTACATACTATGTACAGTCTTTGGGAGGTTTGAGAAAAGAAGCTTCTCAATTTACTTTCAGTAAGATTGTATTCTCTCACAGACCCCGGTTGAGAAATACTGTTAGGAGCCATACTATGCACTTAAATTCAAGTCACAGATTTCTTAATAGATGAATTTCCTGATTGCTTACTATTGACTTGAGGCAAAATTGAATGGCGATTTAAGAATAAAAGACACCACCTCTAAGGGTGGTGTTTCTCTAGTATGGTCCTTGACTTGCTGGCATTATCTTGAGACTTTTTGGAAATATAAATTCTCAAGCCTCATCTCTTGCCATCTGACCTGCTTAATTGGAATATTGAGGTGAGGTTTCGGGTGCTGGAGCTCAGCAAGTTGTGTTTCAAGAAGTCCTCCAGGTGACTTTGATATATAATAAAGTTTGAGAATCTCTGTTCTGTGCTGTCCATTGACTCCTTTCATTTTTTTCTACCAAATGTTCCAGAAAGTATGTTATCCAGTGTTAGAAAAATCCAGATGTGATTCCCTGATTCATCTTGTTTTTACAAATGCTTTTCTGAATTCATTCTCAATGTGTAGTTGAAATCTAAAGTCAGCTAACTCAGGATTTTATTTGCAAATTGGATCATTTTACTATGAAATTCTCTGGTGTGATGTAGAGTCCCAACAGTTTTCCCCCCAGCTGTTCTCATACCATTTCCTTACTGATTTGCAATGCAATCATAATTGTTTTTAACACCTTATCTTTTTGTTTTTCATTTGTAATTTTTTTTGTTTAAAATTGGAGTCTTACTTTGTTGCCCTGGCTGGGGTGCAGTGGCATGATCACAGCTACCACAGCCTTGACCTGCTGGGCTCAGATGATCCTTTCACCTCAGCCTCTCAAGTAGCTGAGACTATAGATGTGCGCCACCACACCCGGCTAAATTTTTTTTTTTTAATTTATTGTAGAGATGAGGCTTTGCCTTGTTGCCCAGGCTGGTTTCTAACTTCTGGACTCGGGAAATCCTCTCGCCCCAGCATCTCAAAGTACTGGGATTACAGGCATGAGTTACGATACCTGGCCTCTGATTTGTAATCAAACTGTATTTCCCTCAAAGAATGTGACCTATATCAGGGTCAGGAAACTAATTTGGTTTTATAGTTTTAAAGCATCATTAAAAAAAAAAAAAGAAAGGCAAAGACTATATGGCAGAGATTGCATGTAGGTTGCCAGACCTAAAATATTTACTACTTTGTAGAAAAGTTTGCTAACCTCTGACTGATACGATATTTATTCTTTGAAATTTGTTGAGACTTGTTTTATGGCTTGCTATACATAGATCGTTTTTAACTGTTCCAAATGTACTTGAGAAGACTATGTATTTCATCATCATTAGGTATAGGTTTCTGTGTATGTTTGATGAAATCAGACTTAATAATCGCACTATTCAAGTACTTTGTATCTTTACTGTTTTTTTTTTTTCTCTACAGAGAGTTGGCTTGAGGTCTTCACGCTTTTACTTTTACTTCACGCTTTTAGCATACTTTGTATGTTAAATTTTCACTTTCTCTTGGAGTTCTATATGTTTTTAGTTATTTTGAGGCTGTTTTATCAGTGCATACAAATTCAGAACTTTTATGTCTTCTTGGTGAGCTTTAACTTTTATTATTATGTAGTTTTTTAATCCCTAATACCTTTCATTTTAAAGTCTGTTTTGTTTGATCTGATATTTTTGATAAAGCCACCAATTATGTTTGGTTGTTAGTTGCAGCAAGATCTTACTCTATGCCTTAACTTTCAACCTTTTTTGTTCTATGTTTTTGGTTTGGCTCTAGTGTTTTACTTAATTGTTTAGCAATTTAGTTTATATGTCTTTTGAGTAATTTTAATTATTTATATTTATTGTGAATATTGATTTTTTTGGACTTATTTATATTCTGTATAATCTATAGCTTGTCTATGACAGCATACTAAGTTATTTCTTCAGATCTCTTCACCACTTTTCTTTTTAGCTGTTGCTTAACCTGTCTGTTGATTGTTTTTAATTTTAAGAAATAAATATTTATATTTTAAAAAGTCATATTTTTAAATCTGCATAGTCATTTTAGTACTCATTATTTTAAAATTTCCTCTATTTTGTTAAATATTTTACATAGTCATTTTGTATCTAATTATTCCAGTATATGAGTCATGGATTTCTCAATTATACTTTGTAATAGCTTTGGGAATATAGAAACTAAGAGGAACAGCAGGAGCAAGGAGTAGTTAAGACCTACTGTACCTCCCTACCACTAGTTCTGTCATTTCCATATTGTACATTTTAGCCTAGATAGTTCTTAGTTGTGGAAAAGCTGTCCTGTGCACTGTATATATAGCAGCATCATGGGCCTCTGTCCACCATAAGTCCCCCTCTACTTCCCTTCCAGTTATGATACTCAAAATCTTCAGCTATTTCCAGATGTCCCATGGGAGGCAAAATCATCCCTAGCTGAGAACTGCTTTAAATACTTATATAGCTTGTATGACATTCTTCAGGGAGCCATGCCTTCTAAATTTGTAGATTATAGTTGTGTTATAATAAGCCATCTAAAACCAGAACAGTTCTTTAAGAGCATTTCATAGATAAAGACTCTCTAGTGGTAAATATTATTAGTCTGCGTGGAGATCAGTTTATCAGTATGGTAACAAGGAGATTCAACCAGGTCATCCTCTTTCTCTGGGTGTTCACTCCCTCATCAGCTGCTTTAATTCTTTTCTCTCTGTTCTCTAGTTTGTTACGACCATCTCCTTTTATTCATTTAACAAATAATTATTGAATGCCAAAAATATTCTAGTACTGTTCTATTTGCTAGGCAGATAGTAAAATAAAGGTCTTTTCTGTCATGAAGCTTACTTTTTGTGGGGTGAGACAACACATCAATTAGTAAATAATCAAGAAAGTGTTAAATATTAGTGCTATAAAGATAAGTGTGCTTTGATAGACTAACTGGTTAGTTTTGAATGGCAGGATCAGGAAAGGCTGAGTCTTAGGAGGCATCTCTTAAGCCAAGACCTTCATGTCAAGCCAGCTGTATGAACATCAAGAGAAAGAGCATTCTAAACAGAAGGAAACACTGGAAATTTGTGTAATTTAATCAGTAAGCATAAAATAAATTGGGGGAAATGACAGACAAGTGCTTTCATCTCTCCATATTATTGTCAATAGAAACACAATATTTGAGGCCTGTACTTGGGAATCTGTATAACACATTTTGAGGAAATGCGATAGTAATATCCAGAAACAAGTATTTGTTTCTTTTTCCTTTCTCTTACCACAGCCAGTGCTTTACTTAAAAACAAAATAAAACAAAAAACTTCAGGAAGTGTATCAGAAGAATTTTTCAACATTGGTACCAATGCTTTTTAACTAATTTGTTTCTTGTTTCACTTGTACAGGTCAATTTGTTGAGTTTGATTACCTCTTCCACATCCTTTGAATAGATAAATATCATCTTGTTTTGTTTCAGTTTCAGGTTTCTTGTATGGATCACTGAGTGAATAACAGATGGCTTTACCTCGTCTCACAGGAGCCTTGCGCTCTTTTTCAAATGTCACCAAGCAAGATAATTATAATGAAGAAGTGGCTGACTTAAAGGTAAATTTGTTAGATGAAAACCATTATACACATAGAGAATGGACAAATATTTGCCATTCTTTTTCTCAGTTCTGTGTGCTTAAAGTGGAAGTTTTATCTTGTTTGGTGTGAAGCCAAAATGGAGAATGTGTATATTGATATGTATTATAAAGGAATACTTATGTTAAGAACCTATAACTGTATTTTCAAAGGGATCAGTCAGAACTATGATATTGCGTCTTTTGTTGATTTTTCTGCTGCTAAGATCCTGCCACAGTTAATTTTGCAATTTAATCCAGCAATTTACCCCTGAATCATATGAGTAAGTTTTTAGGTCTCTGGTAAAATTCTTACCAAATGGACAGAAACAACGTCTGTACCTTATCGCGGGAAATAAATCTCTTGAACTTAGAGGTTGATCTCTTAATTGATTTATCTTGTCCTTATAATTGGTAAGAAAGGCATTTAAGTCTTAAAAAATACTGTTATTTAAAAAAAAAAACCTTACAACTAAAACTTGAGAAATTTTTAGTAAAACAAAAATTCATATGGACTGTAGACTCTCTTTTGACATTTATAGTAAGGACTGACCCCTGTTATAGTAATAATTATGGAAAAGTTTTCTTACATGAGTTAATTTTATAATAAATGATGCTTATTTTACCCTTGCTACAAATACAGTTAAATTCCACCAGGGCAAACTGGTTATCACTTTGGAATTTCACTTTTGTATTATTGAAGTATCTTCTTCAGTTTCTTTCCTATATAAATTCTATGGCTGCATTTTCTGAACCACAAATTAGGGTATTTGTTTTGGCAAAATAATTTCTTCTGATGGGTAAACTTACTTATGTAAGCCTTGTAAAGATATAAAATAAACTATATATAGTTACAAGTTTAATTAATATTATAGAAAAAATAAATATATGATACAAAGACTTATAGAAAATTCTTGATATGTAGCTTAAAAATATTTAGAGGAAAGATTCTTATAAATGTCTCTGACATATGGTTTATTAGTTTACACAAAATAACACACTACCATAGACTGTGTGACTTAAACAACAGAAATTTATTTTCTCACAGTTCTGGGGCTGGAAGTCCAAGATCATGGTGGTGGCCAGTGTAGTTTCTGCTGAAACTTCTCTACTTGGCTAGCAAATGGTAGCTTTCTCGCTGTGTTTTCACGTGTTTTGTGTCCCTAGTGTCTCTTGTGTGTCTGAATTTTGTTTTCTTACAAAGATACCAGTCAAATGGAATTAGGGCCCATCCTAATGGCCTTATTTTAATTTAATTACCTCTTTGAAGACTCTATCTTCAAATACAGTCACATTCTGACATACCAAAGGTTAGGTTTTCAACATATGAATTTTGAGGGGACACAATTCAGCTCATATGGATTCTGCTGATCATTTGATAGATATGAGGATATTTTCATCACTACAATGAACTTATATTTAATTCTTAAATTTCTGTAGTTTCTTCCTGAATGTGATTTTGAAGTATATACCTTTTTTGTTACAAAAGGAATAAGAGGCAATAGAGCCCAGCTATAGTCTGTTCAGACCATTTTAATGTATTTTGGACATCTTTGAAATAATTTAAGTTACTGAAATTTATTTAAAAAATAATGTTTCTTATTATAAATGACACCTATGGAGACATGTAAATACATAAATGGTGGATGGGTTTTTCACCCGGAAAGGGTAAATGCTTTATACATGTTGTGAACTTTATGGGTCTGAAGCTATATGAGCTGTGCATGTGAAGAAATGAAGCACATAATAGAGTATGTGATAGATCTGACCCATTGCTCTTTTTTAAAAAAACAGCATTAACTTTAATTGCTGACTCTTTATTTGAATCTATTACGGAATAATAATACCATTTCCTAGACGGTTGTAATTTTATTGCTGAAAGTTTTTAATTACAATCAATAGTTTTCTTTTTTTTTTTTT